AGCAGTAGTAGCAGTAGCAGCAGTACTAGCAGCAGCAGCAGTAGCAGCAGCAGTAGCAGTAGTAGCAGTAGTAGCAGCAGTAGCAGTAGCAGCAGTTGTAGCAGTAGTAGCAGTAGTAGCAGTAGTAGCAGTAGAGTAGTAGTAGTAGTAGTAGTAGTAGTAGCAGTAGTAGTAGTAGTAGTAGTAGTAGGCGGCTGATTCGACCGGTGCAGAACGGCGAAATTGTTTCCACCGCAATCAGCTTGGTGATGTTCTCATTGGGTGTTCCCACTGGGTTTCAGTGCAGGCTGTGTCGTCGGAAGCTTGCTTGTTGCCCCGTACCGAAATCCCCGCTTTACCACGTCAGGGAGCGTTCCCCCAGCTCCACCGTTCGGAGTTTTGCCAGGGCTTCCATCCAGACCTTGAGAGGGCTCTGCCCGCAAGCAGACGCTGCGCCTTGAGTGTGGAGTCCTCAGCCGCAGTTCGAGCAGGAACACTGACTTTCAAGTCGGGCTTCAACCGAAAACGGCAATGATCATCGCAGATCAGAGCCTCGAAGCTGAACCTGCCTCCAAAAAGGCCGGTGTCTTGTTCAAGCTTCCTGGAGTGCGGGAACTGGCGCTTGGATTGGGATGCAGCTCACTGAGAATCATGCTGCAGACAGGGTTTCGGACTGATTTCATGGTTGAAGGATGTTGCGCGAAGGCCCGTGATCAATGCACGCCCGGTGCCAGAACATGAGCTTGCAAAGAATAACCATGGCCGTTGCAGTATGAATAATGGCATGTAAACCCTACATCCTAACTCAAGTGCACACAAATCGTGCATAGAGTCCTGGGACTGCTATGGAAAGCTGAGTACGGACTCCGAGCTGTACTACGCGGCTCTTGTGTCGAGCTGCGAGAGCGAGGAACAGTGGAACATGACATAGTGACTTCTTCACGGGCAGCGTTAATGATAGGATCAGGGGTACTGTAAAGGGAAATCGCTCAAATAAATCGCAGCAGAACCCAGAGGTAGCAATTGACAAATGTGCACAAAAAAGCCCGATACTATGATGATAAGGGCCAGAGTTCGCTGAGGCGTTGATGCGCATCGGGATGTAGCCAAGAGGTGCCTGTCCAACGGGTGCGACCCTTGAATGTGGCCTACCGAGTGCATCCAAGGCATACAGATGACAGATACGACAATGTTACGTATCCATCGTGCATGCATATTGCTCTTGCTGTACATGCCCATCAAATCTTGGCAAAGCGGTGGCGTGCGGTGAGACGAGCATGCCAATCAGCTTCCAGTCTCTTAACTACCTGCGGCATCAGTCCCTCAAGATCGCCCGTGCCTGCCAAGGCTTAGCATATCTGTGGTTCCTGGCGGTGAGCGGGAGCAGCTTCTCGCACAGCACGTGACCTAGATCTTCGTATTCTTCGCGTCTCCATGCGCGCTGTCTCGGCATGTCTCATCTCGGCACCTGTGTGCACAGAGAAGTGGAGCTGTTGAACTCCAAACCCAACAATGCCAAAGATGCCAAAGGGTCTAATATACGGGCCTAAATAACTACCAATATTATTGTGGGGTTCCTTATTATAATTATAGTATAATGGGCCTCAAAAGCCTATTCTAATTATTAAGGCCCCTATACTATGAACCTCACTTGAGGCGAGGCAAAGTCGAACAGCTGGTTCTGGCTCAGCGGCAGGTGGGCCTTGCAGATTCCCGGCTGTATCGGCGCAACCCAGCGAGGGTACCAGCAGGGAAAAGCCACTGCAGACCATGGAACTTCAAGTCAAGTATCGACTGCTTCTCCCCGATTGTAGAGCCGGCTCTGCATTGCATTGTGGCAGGGTCTAGACGGGGGTGTGCGTTTTGCGGAGGCTACACTTGAGAATCGAACTCGCTTGGCCACCTAACTGTGAGCCGAATCACCCGTGATCTTACTTTTATGCACAGTATGTAATACAGTTGTGGGCAACACACCCCAGGAAGATTGCATCGACAGCCCTAAGCTCCAAACCCTAGACCCTAAACCCCGCACGACCAAAAAAAATCACGACAATGTCCATTATTCTTATTATTCTTATTCTTATTATTAATTCTTATTCTAACTATTACTATTATTGCTTTTATCCCGAGTGAGCTTCTCAGGGCTTCGTTCGCCTGGCCCTTCAGCATGGAGTGCCGTCTGCCGGGCGTGTTTGGAACACCAGGTTTAGGATTTGGGATTGAAAGTTTTGGGCTGATTTAATATAAAGGAAACTACAGGTGGGGAGTTTAGGGTATATCGGGCTTCTATAAGGCTTCTATAAGGTATATAGACCTTCTATAAGCGTCCTATAACGGTAACTACCCACCTGAAAATGTCCTGGATTTATGGTTCGAAGCTTAGGGCTTAAAGTGAGACGTCTCTAGGGATTGAGATTACAGTGTAGGGCATAAGGTTCAAAACTAGAAGTTTGCCATTTAAGGCTTGGGGCTGCAAATGAGCTATGTGCGGCTTACGAATAAAAGTTCGGGGAGTAAGCTTTGAAAGTTTGGCGAGGTTTTACGTTTGCAGTTGAGGGCATCACGTCAAACGTTTTGGGCTCAAGGTTAAAAGTGCCTAATCTGAGTTCAACGTTTAGGGCTCGAGTTCAAAAGTTTTGTGCTAAAGGGTAATTCAAAGTTTGGGCCTTTCGAGTGACAGTTGAGGGAGTGATTAAGGTTACAAGTTGAGGGCTTAAGCCGTTATTGGCACAGTGGCATCAGTCTCTTCTCAAAGCATTCAATACGTGCGTGCATGCATGAATCTGAGCAGTCACAAATAGTAACATGATGGTGGCTGGTAACTTTAGTAGCCGAAGTGAAGCAGCAAGCTACAGATTCTACATCGTGTAAGTTTCCGGTATGGACAGCTATCGGGTATCTACAGAGTATGTACAAATCGCACCATAGCAGGAAATGCTTTGGTTTAAAGTCATGGCAAGCTGAATTCCTATTGAATCAGGCTCAGCAGATCACGAGATGTAGAGCAAGTTTACTGGTGGCGCGCCATGTGTTAAGGGACCGCTATAAAACACAATAGGCGCATTCAGCAGGACTGTGATGCACCCACAGACCCTGAAACTCCAAAGCACCGAGCTTCTCCAAGTTATGCGCAGGCTATGTTTCGGAATAGAGGATAGGTTGGATATGCATACTTGCGTAGATGGCCACAAAAGAGCAAGTTCCGAGCCTTCAAAGCCGGATCTCTGAGCCCACAGCAGCCTGATACGAGCCGGAGCCATGGCGTTGGATCTGCAAGGGCCAGACTCCACGGGGTCAAGGCACTGAACCCTGTTAAATCCTCGTGGGTTTCCAAGACTTCCTTGGCGCTGCGAGATTTCGTCAAGGAAGTTTGGGAGGTTAATCTTTAAGCTTCAGTTGCAAGGTGGGGGTTTTCTGTTCAAGGACTGCGCGTTCACTTCAATGTTTCGGATGCTCGAGTGAAGTAGAACAGGTCAAGGCTTCGGCAGTTTTGCGAGTATGCGCAGGATTCGCAACTGTCACCGCAGGGCCCGAAGCCTGTGTTGAGGGTGGGGGCAGCGGATTTCTGCACCCGAGATCGTGCAGACGAGGACGTTATGAGCCAGGTTACCGTACACGGTGCTGGTCTGGTGCCGTTGCTGGCACTGGCGGCGGTGGCTGTGGCCCCGTATAGATTTAGTTATATATGTACTTAATTGCTTGTGGACACATACATACGGATGGATAGATGGATGGATAGAGGGACAGGTAGATACACAGATAGATAGATGGATAGGTACGCATACATACATGATAAGCTACGGAACGAAATGGCCTAAACAGTGATGTGCATTGAATTTTTGTTTGTGTTGCAGATCCTTCCGCCCGAGTAGCTTGTGTCAGCAAATCCGGGCCATTGTCTGCAAATCGAAGTCAGAAAACCAGCGGCTGCCTGTCGCAAAAGGGGCGGCCGCGAGTCAAAAGCAAGCAGCCGGGGAAGTTGCAAACCAGGAAGCTCCAATCAGTAAGCCGCAGCTGGACATGGAAAACAGGAATCAGAAGCAACCACGCAGTAACTCCTCTTGCAGCCACAAGCGCAAGTTTACATTACTGTCAGTACGTTTCCAGAGATGGGTTGGACATATTTGACACTGAAATGTCGGGCAAGTTTACATGTCCAGGAGCATGTCGTTGAGTAAGAGGTGCTGCCGTCGCATGGCACTTCCTTGGTGTTTGCCGTTTCGGCTGGGGTTTGCTGACTGCGACTGTACTGTTGATGACTTGCACCGGGCCTGCTTGCTGATTGTGCCCCCGATGTGTTTGACTCTTTTTGCTGACTCGGACCCTGCCCATCATCCACCCCAAACGGTGATCGAGTTCGAAACTCAAGCGACGAAATGCAAAAGGCCTTAATCGGAGGTTCGAGTGCCTCCGGATGATGCAGACTCAGGGAGTTGCCATCGTTTTGCTGTGATGTTTCTAGTAGAATGAATATGTATGTATCTATATATATATATAATGTAATATAATGTAATGTAATGTAATGTAATGTAATGTAATATATCATATTTATAATGTAATATAGTATATAGTATAATATCGAGTGCAATGGAGGCCCAGACCGCCGTTTTCCCAGCGGCTAGCGGCACAGAAACTTAACGGCAAGAAGCCAGGAGGGGCTCTGTTCATCTCCTGCCGGCGCTACGAGTTTCTTAGTCGATTCCGGTCGCCGGGATTTCAGTCTACTGCTTAGGGTTGAGGGTTTAGGCTTTAGGGTTTAGGGGTTCGGGTTTAGGGTCATGATTTTGCAGAGTTGAGGGTTTTGGTTTCCGGCTCACTTGCACAGCCGCTCCACCGCATCCTTGTCTTCATCCTCCAAGTCTTGTCTTGTGCCCGGCATAGATGGTAACCCGATCCCTCACCCCACGCAGCTTCTCAGAGTTCGCTAGAAAGGGCGCGGTTCCAAGGGTAAGGAATCTTCCATACTTGACATCTTTGGCACAGCACGACTCCAGGAACTGTCGAGCTTCCGCTGTATGCACAGATACCAAATTTCCTGTGAAAGTCTGCGCCATGCCATTAGCCCATGCCCTCACCAGTCTTTGCTCAACTTATCTAGCCCTGCAAATGCCTTAGCCCAAAGTCTTCGTCCCTCCAAACTGTTTGACATCGAGGTTGGCAGTGGCGATGCCGGAGCTGGGCTGGAGCGTTCGGGCCTTATACAGCGGTCCCGTCGCAAGAACAGTGCCGACAAGCCAAGCTCTAGGTAGGTTATCACTGTTGCTATCGTCGTCACTATCATCATCGTGAGGATCAGCACAAGGATCTGCAGCAGCAGCTCAAAGCTGGAAGGAGAAGATTTCCACAGTCAGAACATGGTTCTCCCCATGCATTTGGTGCCCCCTGGTTCAGGATGAAAACAAAGTAATGCCTGCAAACCATCACTGCATGGCCCAGCCCAACACCATCGCCCTGCCTCTGATCATCGTCATCATGTTGACATGTTCATACTCCCCCAAACCGGCAACAACGTCGCACGCGAGTTCGCCCAGGTGTGCGAGCCGCTGTTCATGCCTCTCTTGCTGGAGCTTGAGGTGCGAGCCCCAGGACTCTTTGGAGAGGTCGCAGGGTTTCGGACTGGAGGCTGTTCCTAAACTCGGTTCGAGGGCATTGCCATGAGGTGGCCAGTCTGACTGTCTAGCCAGCGCAAAAGGATGTCAGGGGATGTCATGGCCGCTAGCGGCTAGCGCATCCTGCCGCCAGCTTGGATATCATTGTCACAAAGCAGCAATGGGCAAATGTGACATCTTCTGCCACCGATCAGTGCGACGACGTTGCTTGTAAAGAAGTCAATTCGTTGGTGCTTGTGCCGACGACGAGTCTGTCGCTGTACGACATAACGTGTGACCCTTGCTGCGCCACTTCTCTTTGGTACATACTTGTCATCAGATGTGGGTTTCTAAGTGCATATGCACACATGAAGGTATATACCACTCTCTCTAAACGTGCAAAATCTTCAAAATTCACAGACACAAACACCTACAAACTGTAATGTGTATCGCTGTTTGATTTGGTTCGCTTCTGCGCATACAGTGTAAGGTGGAGGAGGGACACTTGTTGATGCAGCTATGTATATCTAACATTCTGTATGGATGGATGTATGCATGCATTTGTGATATATGTGTGTTGGAATGTGTGCATGGGCTATGTGCCTATATCTGTGAGTCATGCCTACAAGGAGGTCTCCGTGTACTGTATGACTGCATGCAGCTATGATGTATGCATGCATGTTTGTATGTGTGTAGGATGCATGTATACTGGTATGTAGGCATGCATTGCATGCGTGCATGTTCGTATGCCTCTGTGCATGTACGTATGTATGTTTGTATGGTCTGCATGTATGCTTGCATTCTTGCACGAAGGCTTGTATTTTCCTGTGCCAGTGCGTACCTCTGTTTACACATACTGACATACAGATGTCTATCCCCTTCTGCCAGAAGTCTATCATCTAGCCTGCCTGTGGATCTGTTGATCTGTCCCTGAAGCTCCCCTCTATATAGTCAGCTGACACGAAGCGTACAGACAGAGTTGACCAAGGCTTCTGTATTTAGGGTTGCCTGGCATACCTAAACCCCCAAAAGTAGGTAAAACAATGTCCCAAAACCTATAAAAGGCCATTATTCTACATACTTTTGGGGTCCAGGTAAAGGACACAGGATCTGCACACCAAGGTTCCAGATTCCTTGCTCGCAGTTTGCTGGGCCTTCCCCTCAGTCGACTTGCACTTCTTTCAGCTGGGTTCAGCATGGCGGCTTTGGCGTGCATTCTGTATGCAGCCCTGAGCTTCGCAAAGATTCGTTGTAAGAACTTAACAGAAGCCTGACGCCTAAACCCGACAGCACATCACGCATCCACAACTGCAGAGATCAGGTGATAAGCCCCGCTGCGGGATTAGTTTTGCAGCCCTGCGTCGGCACTTTGAGCGACAAGTATGGAAGGACCTGCGGGTTCGGGCGCTCAGAGGTTTCTGTGGGAGGAGAAGGGGGGTACTTCACGGTCTAGGCAGTATTCCGGGTTGAAAGGTGTTTCTCGATGGCAGGTAGGGGGATTTACACTCAAAGATTTATAAATCAATACCTGTCAATCCAGGGTTCTTTCCCTAAATCCTCCACCCTTCACAAGGAGACCCTTTATTCTGCTCTTCGGGTTCATGGCGGTTGTCGGCCTGACAGACGCTCGGCTGCTGAAGCGGTTTAGGGTTTAGGATTTAGGGTGACTGACCCCCTCCCTCCCCTCGCCCCTTCCTGCCTCTCCCACTCATCACTCATGTGCTGCATGTTGTTGTGTTGCAAAGCCTGCCTAACTGCATGTAGTTGCGCGTATGCATGTATAAACAAGCAGGGACAGGCATAGACCTGAAATGTAGGTACAGATAAATACGGCTGCACATACACATCGGTCATAGGTGCGTTTGCACGTGTATACGATCATTTTGAACACCATCATACACATACATGTGCATGTATACACATACATATACTTACAGATTGGTCTTACATATATGCGTATGATAAACGAATAAATAAATAGATAAATAAATACATAAACAAACAAACAAATGTGTATATATATATATGTATACACATATCTATTGATTTATTTATGTCTAGATGTAGATGATATAGATACAGAGGTAGATAGTTGGACAGAGATGGATGGATGGATGGATGGATGGATGGATGGATGGTTATATGAAGTTATATGTATACATTTGTATGCACACTATGCATTCGTGCTGGAACGCACTGCCAGGTCACACCGCTCCTTGCCGAGCTTGCCTCCAAGGCAGGTTGTGGATGCATGAAGTACATGACTTCAACTCGGCATAACTATCATCGACTCACGAGTGCGAAATTTTGGGAATCCGCACATGGTTCGAGATTTAAACTGCAATCAATGCACATTGAGGCCATCGCGCGGCCTTTGGCCATCGTAGCATTCGGCTTGGCAGATGTCAGCCCGGAGCTTAGGTGTCGACAGAGCTGTCCCACTAAGTGCTCAAGGGAGGGGCAGCCTCTCGTTAGCTTTTCAACTGCCTGAGGTCATGACATGCTGGTAACTCCAACCCGGGCGCAGATGAACGACGTCTTCGACCCTGACACGGCAGAATCACGAAGTGCAGTGGTTGGTGGAATAGCCAAGACATTCGCTATGCTTTGTGCAATCCTGTTGCCGAGAGCTGGAGCTTTCTTGACAGTTGCAGTTGTGGCGTTTTTCTCAACGACAGCGCAGCTGTTTTGGCGACCGGAGAAAGCGGCACTCGCGATCCAGGACAGCCTCGCTGAGGTTCAACGGGAGGATGCGGCCTCGGAACGGGTTCGCACTTATCCAGCCGGCTTTTGGCAGCTGTGGCTCCTTCAATGTGCGGGCTGGTTGTCAGTTTGCACATGGAGCTTCTATTTCACAAGCGTCTGGGCAGAAATCAAGGGAGCTCGCTCAAGCAAAAGTCCTGGCTTCGAGCCGGCCGTGCGGGAGGCCACGGGTTACCTTTTGCTGGGATCCTTCGTCTTTTTAGGAGCTGGAGGGGCCCTCTCAAGGCTCTCGAACCTCTGCACAGAGTGGGCCTCACTCTTCGCATCTGTCCTTGTGATGATGTTGACTCTGATGGTGCTGTGCATGGCACACTTGAACAGCATGCTGCACTGGCTGGCAGCAGCCTTGGTGGTTTTCGGGATGCCTGTGGCCTACCAGATACTTGCAAACACTCCCTTCAAGTGGTTAGAGAGCCAGCCGGGCTTTGACGAAACCCAGCGAGGCTGGCTCACAGGTATCTTCAACACCACCCTTGCGGTGGCGCAAGCATTTACGGCTGTCCTCAGCGGTCCGATCGTGGCGGCCGCCGGGGGCCGACTTTGGGCCGCGTATGCAGCAGCCTTTCTCTTCGACATTCTGGTGCTCGTCCTGGTGATGGTAATGAGGCTCCGATCCCTCTCCTCCCCCCGGGAGCTTAGCGATCTGAGCCAGCGATGAGGTTCTGTTGGTGTGGTGGAGAAGGCCAGAGACTTGCCTGATCAACACCTCCGACACTTGTCACTGGGCGACGGTGTACCCAGTGGCTCGTGCAGAAGCTTCGGATCCGAGTTGAAGCAGTTCTCGGAACGATCCGACCTTCCGACCAGATCACCGGGCCGTCAGATCGCCGGGCTCGGTCCGAAGGCCTTGCTCCTCTTGCCAGCTGCCGGTAGCGAGGACGCGTGACCCGCCGCGGCGGTGTCGATGCGCGACGGGACATGAAAGATGTCTGCAGCAGTCGTAGTTGGATAGCATATGATAGCATTCCTGCTTCTGCAGCTGGTGTAGGCAAGTAGAAGCTCCACCCAAGCTGCTTTGACGAGTCTGGCCGAAGACTCTGCAGATGTACTTCGGGACTGAATCCTTATAACTGTTAACTATGATGGTTGTTGCAATTGCATGTGCTATGTTTGTAATTATCACCATCGTCAGCAGTTCGCATCCAGAGCCCGATATCCGACGTATTGGCTTACTGCGCAGCCACTCCAAACCACAGGCGAGACATGCGCCTCACAAAGCCAGGATCGTTCCAGTCTACGTCTTTGGCGAGGCACAGCTGCCGGAGCCCAAGCTTGTATACGAGAGGTATGAAGGCTGCTGTAGACTGGGGCGACTCGGGTTCACTTTCGTGTAGTGTATTGGCCCGTTTGATTCGAGGGTTCAATGTCAATTAGTATAGCGAGCACCTCAATGGCAACATCGGGCTTACTCGGTTTGGCCTTGGGCCCTCAGATCGTGAAATCTTGGAGCCTTTGCGGTCCGCATGTCGCATTTGGCCTCTCAGACCCCTGAACTCAGACCCCTTCAACCTACGAAATCCTGAAGAAGCCCCTTCCTCAAGTCTCGCAGGTTCAAGCAGTCTCGAATCCTCATGGGCTTCAGATCCTGGGTGCAGCGCACTCTAGGCGCCCCACCGGAGTTCAGGTCTTCGGCGTTTAGGGTATTGGCTTTCGGGATTCGGGTTTGGGGTCCAGGACCCTAGGAAACCCAAAATGCAGCTGTGCACTTCGGTGTGTCCTTGCTTTTCCGGGTAGGCCTGAAGCATTTAAGTAGAGGACCCAAGAGTGGTAGGCACCTGCAAACCCACATCTCGAAGCTTTGGCTCTTCCAAGAAGGACGCGGTGGGTTTAGTGTTTAGGGTCTTAGGGTTCAGGGTTCTACCGTAGGTTCTCCTGTCAGGTGTCGCGCTCGTGATGCCCTACGGCCCCTGGGGTATGTTCCGTCCCTGGACCTTGCTTCCGACTCACAAGTTCTCACAAGTGCAGTGTTTTCATTGTTGGTACTAGGGTATAACACATTTACGCGGCAAGTAACGGTAGAAATACACACACTACCATGAACTATATACGATGATGTATAAGTGCGTGGTTGTTGCACCCAGGCCGTGGCAGAAGTACCCGGATCCTGTGCGGATCGTCGTTGGGAAGCCTCTGGCCATGCCAAGGCTCGTTGTTTTTTTGGGTTTGGGGTTTAGGGCTTAGAGTTTAGGGTTTAGGGTTGTTCATATTGGGGTCATTGGGTTTAGGGTTTTTCGGGGTGAGGGGTGAGGGTTTTATTTGTGTTTTCGCCACTTGGCTGTGTCAGTGTTACAGTGCGAAGGAACCCGACATGTCACTGCTGTGGTCTTATTTAGCCTGTCCAGCTGCTTGCTTCAGCGCGCGTGCGAGTGTGATCTCAGGATTCCGGACCCCAGCAAAGCCGATGTAGCGGAGCACCACTCCAAGCGGGTTTCTGAGGCAGTTGCATGACCGAGAATATGGGCCAGGTCCCAACGCGCAAACCTCTGTATGAGCACAAATGCAAGTTGAGGTATGTGGAGGAGCTGGGCAAGCTCTTCGAAAGGCACAAGGCATCGGATCCTGACTTACTAGCATTTCGGTACTCGTATCACACTTGTAACTCTACGATGATTATGCTTCTGAGCGAGTCGTGAAGAGGAGTAGCTTAAGTGCTCAGAGGCCGGCGCAGGCTACCCAGACTCCAGCCTGCAGATCGCGATGGGCCAAGATGTCGGGCCATGAGGGATGGGAAATCGTCACGACGTATACGACTTATACACACGAGTTGGTACCTTTGCACCTCCGATGATCTAGGAACGACACAATGTGTGTATGTGTGTGTGTATTTATATATATATATACATGTATGTAGGTCCTAGTGCCGGTGTGTGTGTGTGTGTATGTATGTATGTATGTATGTGTGTGTATATATATATATATGGTATGCAGACGAAAATGACAGATGTGGGGATGCAGCAACATACAGTACCACACTGATACCAGAACCTCGTTGCCCGAGGTTTGATGTGCACTTCGCTGCGATGCGAAGAAGAGAAAACACCTGCAGACGTTTGAGGGCTTCGGTGTTGACTTGTCATGGAATCGGGCTTGTCTCGAAGTTGTAGAGTCTGCGGGCTAAGGGTTTGGGTTTTATTAGGGCATCAAACTCAGTGGCTCTGTTCGCGTTACCACCAGGCTCACCAAGCAGCACAAGCAAGCTCCCCCAGCAATGCATAACTCAGTGAGAATCATGTGCATGGCACTCGGTTCAGCAAAGCCAGCAGCCTCCTTAAGTCTTTCCGTTTCATATGAGATGTGTAATTATAACTCAGTGATGCACCTCGCACATAGAACATGCAATCATCGGAGTACCCTTAACCCTGGCAAGCCATGGACGGGCCGCCAGATGCAGATGATCCCAAAATCTCCAGCGGGAAGGGCAAGGCCAAGGGCAAAGCACCTACCAAGTCTGTCGATGCTGGAGCCGCCAAGGGCGGCAAGAAGGGCGCTCCCGGGGGGAAGGGCAAGGGCGCACCGAGCCTTTCCAAATCTCCGGTGGCACCCTCAAAGGCGATGAAACCGCTGTGGTGGAAGCGGCTACTCTTTGGCACCGACTTGCAGCCGGGTGCCATCTGGGAGAGGGTCCGTGACGAGACGCAGAGCCTGCCAGCAGAGGAACTCGAACATCGATTCGCCAAGGCCCAAGCCCAGGCCCCATCGAAACCCACTGGGCCCAGTCCTACCGGCGCCTCCGAAGTGATCCGGATCCGCACGGATGCGGTGCAGGACCGGGAGCCTCTAGGTAGACCTCTGGGGTCCTTTTTATTCAAAATCGTTACCGTCAGTTCGATTCCGTTTCCATGTTTTTTCCCGCCTCCATGGGGGTATATACGAGGTTCTTACTCTCGAAGAGGCTTTTCACAGGCTTCCCTTTAGGAGCCAACCTAGGCTCCGACTCCTGCCTTCGCCGGCCGAGTGCGGTCGTGCCTTGGCAGAGCTCGAGGACTGGGATTGGGGTTTACAGGTTCGGATTATCCTGGTGTTCTTCTGGTTGGCTCTTAGGACTAGCTTCTTGGGTGTCTATACGAACTATAATATGGAGACGAAAGGTGTAACTTTTTGGAGGGGGTTCAGAGGTCAGCCAAGTTTTTTGGCCATGAATTTCGATACTGAAGGAGTCATGGAGTTTCAGGCTTGGGGTTTAGGGTTGTTAGGAAATTCGGCTGTCAGGGCTAGGGATTTTGGGAATTTAGGCGTCGGCTTGAGGGTTTAGAGGTTCGGGCCTTTGTTTTCGGGCCCCTCAACCCGTAATCCCCTAAAGCCCTAAACCCTAAAATCCTAAAAACACCCAGAACCCTAACACCCTAAACCCCTCTAACCCCTCTAAACCCTCAACCCCTAAAACCCCCAAAACACCTAAAACCCCAAAAACCCTAAAAACCCCTGAACCCCTAAGACCCCTTAAAACCCCTAAAACCCTGAAGTTTCGGGTCGGGCCCTAAACCCTAAACCCTGAGGACCAGCGCCTGGCTTTGGATGAGCTCGAGCGCCTCCAGAGGGCCGTTTGCCCGACGAAGAGGGAGCTCGAGCTCCTCGAGGAGGCCGGAGATGGTAGAGGGTTTTAGGGGCTTTAGTGGGTTTTAGGGGTTTGGGGTGTTTAGGGGTTTAGGGGTTTTTAGGGCTTTAGGGGTTTAGGTATAGGGGTTTAGGGTTTATGGGGTTTAGGAGTCTTAGGGGGTTAGGGGTTTAGGGGTTTAGGGGGTTAGGGGTTTTAGGGGTTATTTAGGGGTTATTTAGGGGTTATGGGTTTATGGGTTTAGAGTTTAGCGTGTAGGGCTTTAGTGGAACACCCTGTTCTGAAGAACCGTGCCTCAAAAGCAGGGCAGCCGATATTCCGTGCGGGAGCTTGTGTACATGAGGCAGGCTTTGCATTAAGGCTTCAGTGAATGTATGCAGGGCTCCTCAGCGATGTGGGTACTTGAACTTCGTCCATAAACCCAGCTCAGACCGACTCACATCCTACGAGATCAGACTTACTCTCATATAGCAAGACCTGCAACAAGAACTAGTGTAAACATGCGCTAGTATACTAGCTAGAATAATATACTGTATCATACTGTAGTATACTCTCCTTCCATGTATATGTATACTATATATATATATGTGTGTGTATGTATATATATATATACTGTTGCTCAGTTCGTTTACTCTAGTATATCCACTACAACCTTGTTGTGGCCGCGTCCAGGCCCGGCAGCTGCAGCCAATGGCACGCCTCGGCCGAAGGGAGGAGTGCATCCAAAACCACCTAGGTCTGTTATAGTATGCTACGGTATTTATGGTATAATAACACTGTAGTATGATACAGTAATACTTGTAGTATATGATAATATATAGTATGTTGAGCCCCGCAAAACCCAGACTCAGACCCTCCGGGGTTTCAAGGGTTTAACCGTGAATCCCTCAACTCCCACAAGGCAAACCCTAAACCCCTGCACCGCAAATCCAGGAGTACTGGGAGCAGCTGAGATTAATCCCAAGCTTTGAGCAGCGCATGGAGTGCTGGCACTTCATCCGCACTTACCGCGAGCGCGTCGCGTGCCAAAGCCAGCACCTGGAGGATAGAACATTGTAACATACTTCGACCATGTAGGAGCCGCAGTTTTGCTACCAGTGCAGTAAAGTGTGATGGAAATAGCCAGCAATGCCAACAACAACAACAACAGCAGCAACAACAGCAACACCAACAACCAACAACAAACAACAAACAACAACAACAACAACAGCAGCAGCAGCAGCAGCAGCAGCAACAACCACAACAACGACAATAAGATTTAGCACTGCTTTAAAGAACACGCTGTACTGATAATACACGTGTCAGTAACAAGCAAACATACTTTAACCATAACAGCACACCTAGTGTTTGTCATCGTTATTATTGTTATTGTTGCTTTTATTCTTCGTCTTGTTACAAGAATCGCAATAGTTTCAGTAGATGTGGAAAGTCCTTCATGGCCTGCAGCCTGCAGGACCTCTTGGACATCTTTCAAAGCTTGGAGAAGTCGGAAGCCGTCCCTTCCTTGTTGGCCTTGATCCTCGCCACGGGAATCTGGATGAATCGGGGCACTGAGTTTGCGGCTGCCAAGGGTTTTGGCATCGAGTTTCTGGAGAAGCTTCATAGCATCAAGGGTGCCGATGGCAAGAGCCTACAGCATCTGCTGTTTGTGGTGTTCTTCGACTCCTTAGATAGCCAGGCAGCCGAGTTTGTGGAGGCACTAGGCCCATTGCTTCAGAACGTCAGCCGCCGCGTCATCCAAGACTCTGAGGAGACGAAGATCAGCAAGGCAGTGCATCTCTCTTTGGAAGAGTGTGATGAGGCTGTGTCTTCCATTCATGAGACAGCATTGGATATCCAAGCATCTCTGCAGAAGTGCACAGGAGGATTAGATCCGTCGGACCCCGTGAAGCTTCGCCTGCATCGGGAATTTGCGACGGCGACGAAGATGATCGAGAGCTTGGTGCAGCTGCGCAACTCCGTCAAAAGCCAGTATGATCGTGTGCTCCAGTGGTTTCATGCACCCGGATGGAGGACTGACCTGATAAGACGCGTTCGGAGCTGAGGTTGGCAGCATACAGTAAAGGAAGCATTTGCATACGGCATGCACAGCCGGCATTGCTCAATGCTAGACATGCCACTACCCACAGCTGCACCGCTTGAGACCGCAACGACTCACTTCTGCAGGAGTGCCGACTTCTTCCTTCTCTGGGACAACTTCCTGTTGCCCAGCGATCTGCTTGCAGCACGATGCCGCGATGGGCAGTCTCCGGCTCCAGATGCAAGGCACCGGGCCTCTCGATGCTCTGCACAGTCCCAAAGTTCAGGAAGTTGCTTGCACCCCTGATGCCTTGAGTTATTTAGTAATCCGCTGGGGCACATCATGATGCGTTTCGCTTCCGACCTGCATGGCCCCTTCCTTCATGAAGGTGGGGAGATGCAAGAGCCATCGCCTCTGCTCAAGAGCCCCAGGAGTCCCCATAAGTTTCAGGGGGCTGCCCTTCGGGATGCCCACCACACCCAGCTTGCCACTGCTCCTCCGGTCCATGTCCAAAATACCAGAAGACACCAGCAACACTCGTACAGACAAGCCCCAATGCTCCGAAAAACCCGACATCTTAAAGCGCAAGATACGGCTTTAATGAAAGATGGTTAACAACCGCAGCAGCAGCAGCAGCAGCAGCAGGAGGAGTAGTGGTAGTAGTAGCACTACTCTACTACTACTCCTCCTCCTCCTCCTCCTCCTCCTGCTGCTGCTGCTGCTGCAGCAAGTACTACCACTACTACTTCTCCTGCTCCTGCTACTCCTGCTACTGTTACTGGTACTACTACTACTTCTCCTACTCCTACTCCTGCTGCTGCTACGGCTATGGTCGTGTTGCTGCTACAGCTACTGCTACGGCTACTTGTACGACGACGACGATCGACGAAGACGACGACGACCACGACCACGACGACGACTACGACTACTCTTACAGCATTGTGATAAAGTTGGTAAGAGGAGGTAGCTCGATGCTAGAAGCGCGAAGCTTCGGAGCTTCCTTTCAGGTCCCTGGATGTCGAGGCCACCTTCTGCCAGGCGAGGGCCTCAGGATTCTCCACCGCTCAGCAGGGGACTTTTGGTAGGATCTGGTCGGGGCAAGGATGGGTTTGGGGATCGCTGTATTTAGCTATATATCTATCGATCGGCCTATCTTTGTAACTAGGTAGGTAGGTAGGTAGATAGATATGTGAGCCGAGACTCTGATCCTTTGTCTCACCAAGGACTCCTTCTGTTTGACTCTATGTTTGTGTGTGTTCGCATTCTGGACATTCTGGGGTCTCCACAAAAATTCCAAGTCCTGTGAACCGAGGGAGGACAAGACGGCATTATTCTTCTGAACAGCAAATCGCAGACCTCTGGAACTATAAGCCCCTACATTTGTAGCCGTTGCAACCTTCATCGGCCGTCAGAGACTTGAAATACTAAACCCGCTTAATTGAGAAACACACCCCAAATTGCGGGGATATCCCTACTATGAGTGAAAGTACGTTCCTTATGACCATGCAAAGTCCTATAAAACCCAGTAAGTTAAGGGATAGTCCCTCGAATGAACAGGTATTGAACTCTCTGGGTGTTTGAAGCCTAAACTCTAGACGCCTGGATGCCAAAACAGCGCAAAGCGTTAAACACCCTAAACTGGGTTCTTGTTAAGGGATTTAAATTTAAGTTACCATAAGAAGGAAACCGTATATTTACTGTAGATCCCTATTGCTATTATTATTATCATTATGATTATTACTGTTATTATTATTTTTTTATTATTATTATCATTATTATGGTAACTTAAGTAAAGCCCTGAAGGACGAAGCATTTGGTCTCACCGAGTTCCAGGAGCTCTGGCAGCAGAGAGCTTAAAGTGCTCGGACGACCGCTTCCTTGGGGCGGTGGAGGGGGAAGGAGCTTCTGTAGGATTTGATAAGAGGTACTGTTGGTGATATAAATCCCGCATTACCTTTAAGGACCCCAAAACTATGGGAATTATGGTATATTCCTTATGATGGGTAATGCAGGATTTGTGTCAAGGACCCACATCACCAACCGTATTACAGCGGGGGAGGGCGTTAGAGCTGAAGTTCTGGGGTCACCTGCTGGCGTTTCTTCCCGTGTCTCGGGTCACATCGATGGCAACCATGTATGCTGTCGCTAGACCACTTGCGCCACTGAAAGCTGAATCCATTACCTTAGAAGAGACAAGAAGCTTCCGCTTCAGTCAGTTGTCCGGAAGTCAGGCATCGAGGAGCTGAGGTGGATTCTGATGCTGATACATATATTTGTAGAGATGCATGTGTACTTGTCTTGCCGGTTTCGCATGTGAAGCCGATCTTTTACATGTATATGCTTATATGTGTGTCTGCATATATACATACATATATATATACATATAGATATGTAGACATCAGACATATTCGCCTTTCCACTCGGACCCTCTGAGGTTGGAGGAGCTCGGGAGGCCCGTGGAGATGGCCCTAAACCCTAAACCCTCGGGCCTATGGCGACTGGCAGCTGGCAGGGACCTGGCAGAGGAGGGCGATCCACCGTTTCAGAGGCTCGAGCCACGAAGTGCGTGAATTTTTGAGGTCTTTGTCGTGAGGAAAGCATATATTTAACAACATGATAGCTGCCAGCCATTCAAGTTGCAGGCAACTGTCCAGATCACCCGCGAATGCCGAGGAGATGGCAGCCGATCATCAGACATCTCCGGCTCCTGCATTTACTTGGGCATGCTGTAGCAGATTGGCTTTTCTACTCACATCGTATCGGACAACTTTTGCTTTGCAAGCATGAGAACGCTCTTGCATGGCTGGGTGTTTACATGCAGCATGTGGAACTCACCACTTCTGCACGGCCCCAGTTTGCTACATTCTGGGTGGCCGTGGCTTATAAGCCCCGGTTAAGAAATCTTATGATGCCCAATAGCCCAATGTCCCCTTAAACCCCTAAACCCTTAACCCTTAAACCCCTAAACCCCTAAACCCAGTATAGAGGTAACTGGGACTTTAGGGCTCCTCTGAGCAGGAGCCCACGAGTCCCGCCTCGCCGAGCTACGTCGGCCTGGCCCTCGGTCTGTTTCAAAGCTCACTGCAAGAAGATCGCAGATGCTCTGTAAGAATAGCACCTCCAGGTTCGTTTCTGCAACTGTGCTAGAATCATTAGAATCTCCTAACTCTATCACCACAGGCACCTGTGGCGAGGTGGGTTTCAGCCCTCTCCGGTGGAGGACAACGGTGCACGCATGCATGCGCAGAGGCAGTACATCGACGGTAAGCCTCCCACGAATAATCATAATGAGTGTGCTACAGGAGCACCAGCAGAACAGCAGGACAAAGAAAAACAATCAAGCAGGATAGTGAATGACAAAGTAGTGATAGGGAGGCTATGAGGAGGAAGAAAAGCCTCAACCGAGAGGGCCCCAATCGTAAGGTTAGCTGCAGCAATCGGTATGAAAGCGATAGCCTACATTGGGCCTACATCCTGAAAGAAATCGTGGACATTGATGCCCAGGTTTAACTGGGTGGGTCCTGTTTGAGCCGCAACCTCGATGCTTTGAGGACGCTTATGCACGAGGCGGACAGCCTTCGCCTTACCATGCAGAAGGAGTTGTTGTTCAACCTGCTTCAATTTCGTCCTTTTCCTGCAGCAAGGCACGACAATTACAGTAGCCATGCACAATCACAGGGCCATTAATATTCAGAAATTTCAGACTAGCAAGAGGACCCATGTTCAGCCAAGACTCGTAGTCGTAGCGCCTGAATTCTCAAGTTACGAGCTCTCAGGCCAGACCATTTGGAGCAAAATGGAGGCTTCTTTGACTGCATGTCGTTGCGGGGACCTTTCTGTTCGAGGGATTTATCGCTTCAGGATGAGAGTTGTGGGACGTGGGGCTCATGGGGTTGTGCACATGTTCTTAGGGATAGTGGATTTGCAGCCTTCGCTTCCTTCAAAGAGGTTACTGCATGAGTATAGACTCCGTGCTGTGTGGGAAGCGAGCTAGATGTCTTGTTTCGGTGGGTCAGCGTCAGTGCATGCGTTAAGCAAAACCCTAAACCACAGCAAACAGAACCCTAAACAAGAAAACCCTAAACTCCAAGAGTAAGCAGCCTTGCATGTTAGGGGCAGCTCGCGCCGATCCCCACCTTCGAGCTCGAGACAGCGCCTCAGATGTACTGCATCTGCCAGAGTTTAGGGTTTAGGGTGTAGGGTTTATCTGCTAGAAAAGAAGCTGTCTTAAACTGCATACAGTGAGGGATAATGCCCCTGTTTTTGTGTTAGCATAGCAGCCCAGCAGATAGGTGAGTGGGCTTCTAGGCGGAGATAGAATATCTCTGTTAATGCAGTCTTCAGCTCCTTCATGGTGTGGCAGGGGCCTATGTGTACATGACGAGCCGGCATAGATGAGACATCGTCGTGCAGTTGGCCACGCATCTAGCATGGCTCACCTTGGCAGCAGGCCTGCCTGCACGAATGCCACACCTAAGTAGTTCCTTTTTGGGGATTACCTTCCTTATAGGATTCTAAGTATAAACCATAAGACACTTAATCGGACCCTCTGGAATCAATATGCAAGTGCATGCCAGCCGCATGCTGCCCTAAACCCTAAACCCTAAGCTGGAGCTGTTCCCGGGCTTGCCGCGTGCAGGACAAAGTTCTCTGCAGCTGCCATCGCTGACGCTGAGCAGCGGAAGGTTGCCAGAGAGGTGGGCCATAATAATAATAATTATTAGTATTATTGTTATTACCACTATTATTATTCTTATTATTCTTATTATTCTTCTTCTTGCTCTTATTATTGGGCCATTGAGCAAAGGCATGGGAACATGTGTCTGTCAGAGATGGTCTAGTCATAGCGCGAATATCCGAAAGCCTGAACCCCCGAACCATAAAGCCCAAATCTTCAACCCCTGTAGTAACTTGTATAGTAGCCATTAAAGGAACCGTTTTGAGGAACCCTAAACCCTTTTTCAGGCCAGCCGGCGGAACAAGGAGGTAGCCCAGGCACGCGTGTTGCAGCGGGTGGTATGAAATTCACATGGGACTTTCCGAAAATTAGGCTACCTTATTTTGGGGTCCTTATAATCAGGATCCTACTATTTAGGGTACTATATTAGGGTCCCCTATTTTCGGAAACCCCCACATGGGTGATGTAAGGTCGGAATGATTCGGGTTTTGGGCTATCCGAAGTACGCCCTGAAAGTCCCTGCCTAGTTGTAGTAAACTGTAACCCAAAACCCTATGCTGATTCTTCAGGCCCCATTTGCTGACTAATGCTTCGCAAATCGACAGCTTCATGATCATTTTGTCAGTGTTTTGACACCCGGTCAGGAAGCCCTTTTTCTTCGCGTGCCTTAGTTTTCGGCTCCCCGTCATAGTCCTTCTTGAGGGTGGGGAGGCCATTTGATCGATTAGCGATCTGTATTAAGTTCATCAGGCAGCAGGAGCTTTTGACATCATGCTGGAACAGGTTTCCCTTAGCCTCAGCCATGGCCTAAACTCTCAACCCTAAACCCTAAACCCAAAAAAGAAGCCCTAAACACCTAATGTCTCCAGCCAGTGCCGTCCAGGCGAGTGCGGCCCGATGGTCGGTTCTGGTACAGCAGCTGCCCAGGCAAGAGGATGTGGTGCATCTACTCGAGGACTGGTCCTGGGCCAATGTCGGATCAACTAGGGTTTTAGAAAGGGCTTAGGGGTTAGGCGTTTAGCGTTTGGTGTAGATGAATTTCCTTCTTGATCTCAAGCACCCCACGACGTAATGCTTCGTCTGGGCGGGCCACCCAAGATTTTCCTTAGCGACGGTGGCAGCCAGAGGAGCGTGAAGGAAAGGTGGCAGATTATTGCAAACCACAGGGTGGATCCAGCGTAGTATCCTGGTGGCGTTTAGCCCCTCTGCGGTGACAAGGTTCGATTCGCAACCTCGAGAACACTCTAGACTCGAAGCCCCGGTCTTCCACAGACCAGGTCTTATGTAGTGGAACGCATGACCGTTAAGGTTTCTTTAGCGCCTGCTTGCAAAAGAGAACACATGACGCCATTAGGACCCCTAAAAGCCCTAAACCTTTACTTGGATCGACCCTGGCCAGAGGACCTTGATCTGGCAAAGGACAGCTCGGACTGCACGGTTCAGCAGCTCTCAAAGGCCTGCATGATGTCCACTACAATACACTTAACGTCGATTTTAAGGGTTCTACGAATTACCATGTCTGGGTTCGGCATTCAGACAGCGGCTATAGCAGTGACAGGCATGATCAAAAGAAGAAGAGCAAGACTAACGGCGGTCGTCGCGGTGGCGTTGTAGTGCTGGTAGTGGTCGTGGTCGTGGTGGTGGCAGCGGTAATAGTGGTGGTAGTAGTCGTGGTAATAGCAGTAGTACAAGAAGTAGTAGTAGTAGTAGTAGTAGTCGTCGTCGTAGTAGTAGTAGTAGGAGGATGAGGAGGAGGATCACTAGTACCGGTACTAGTACTAGTACTAGTACTAGTGGTTGCAAGAACAGCAGCAAGCTACTCAACGGAGACCAGAACATTCGAGAAACAAGATCAAACCGCTCGAAAAGGAGCTCTGTGAGAAACAGGAGCAAACCACTCGAAAGAGACTAGAGCATGTGACAAAGGGGCAAACCGCTCGAAAGAAACTCGAGCATGTGAGAATTAGGAGCAAACCATGGCAAACCGCTCGAAAACGACTACGACATGTGAGGAACAGCAGCAAACCGCTTGAAAAGGACTAGATCATTCGAGGACCAGGATGGATCATTCGAAAAACAGAAGTGGACCGCTCGAAGGAAGCTAGAGCATGTGTGAAACAGAAGCAAAACATAGCAAGCCGCTGGAAGAGCCTAGAGCTTTTGAGAAGCACGAGCAAACCGCTCGAGAAGGCACTAGTGCATTCGTGACGCAGCAACAAACTTCTCGGCTCGAAATAGACAGGATTATGTGAGAAAAATTGCAAACCGCACGAAAGACACTAGAGCATGCGTGAAAAAGGAGCAAAGAGACCGGGGAAACATGAGCAAACCGCCCGAAAGACACTAGAGCATGCCTGAAACAGCCGCAAACCGTTGCATTCGTGAAACAAGAGCGAACTCTTTGGAAGGGACTTGAACATCTGAGAAACAAAATTACACCGCCTAAGCCGCTCGAAAGGCACTAGCGCAGGTGTGAAACAGGAGCGAACCCTGAGCTTGTCAGAAATAGTAGCGAACCGCTCGACTAAAGAGACCAGGTGTTTCGAGAAGCAGGAGCAAAACGCTTGAAAGGGACTAGGTTTTCCAGATGGACTGCAGGATTTGAGACACAGGAGCAAACCATGTGAAAGCCAGAGCACGTCAGAAGCAGCAACAAGACGCTCGAAAGAATTAGAATGCGTGAGAAACAGATTAGAGGATTTGGCAAACCTGGGGCCAACCCTTTCGAAAGAGACTAGAGCATTCGTGAAGCGGGAGCTTCGAAAGGGGCTAGATCATTGTAGAAACAGACCCAAATGCTCCAAAATGACGAGAGTCTATCTGACAAGGGGTTCTGCAAAAAAACAGCAGCAACGTGCGCGAAAGCGGCTAGATCGTTTGAAAAACAGGAGCGAACTGTTAGAAAGTGACAGGTGGAGACCGATGGAAAGGATACGCTGCTAGTCACTGTTACTAGTAGTCGTGGTCCTGGTCCTGGAAGTGGTTGCTGCAGCAGAAACTGCAGCAGAAGCCGGATTAAGCACTCCTCGTCGTAGGCGGAGGATGGGAGCAGAAGGAGCAGTAGCAGTATCATTGTCGCGGCCGCAATGGCATTGACAATCGGACTATCGCCATCATCATCGTCACAGTTTTTTTTCCGATTTGCACTAGTATCATAAGTGACCAGTAGTAGTCAGAACAACGTGAGCGGGGCACAGGTACTGGAGTTTCTCTGCGAGGAGGCACCTCCGGTGCTGCTTCCAAGAACCGACAGCCATTGAGTTCGGGAGACCTCAGTGTTTTATGCTTCTGGTTCGATACCTACGAGCTTGCTCCGTACTTGCGATTCGTTGTTTTCGTGTCGTCAGAAATCTGTGGACATTTACTCCTAGGTAGTATTAGGGAGACCCCTTAAAGGGGACCCTTCTGAACCCTACTTGTGGCTCTCTTAAAGGGGACCTTATTGAGAGGGTCTTTATCCCCAAGGGTCCCCCGAATCCTAGCTCCCATTTGCAGGCGGAGGCCAGCGAAGGCCCGGAGATCTCGTTTCGGAGGGCTCTGGACGCTGTGCCTGACTGCAAGGAGCGCCGAGCAGAATTCAATCCTGTAGCCCTGAAAGGTTTAGGGCTTAGGGTTTAGGGTTTAGGGAAGTTTTGATTTAGGGCTTAGGGTTTAGGGAAGTTTTGATTTAGGGCTTAGGGTTTAGGGAAGTGTTGATTTAGGGCTTAGGGTTTAGGGTTTAGGGAAGTTTTGAAGTAAAGTCGTAGCGACTTGGGAGCCCGGTGGGTTTCGTCAGGAGCGGCTCCTCTTCACAATGTCAATGATGACCTACAGGCTCGCCTCATTCCGACCTATGAAGTGTTTCACGTATGGCGGCTTGACAGGCAGAAGGCGACGAGCTGTGTAGAAGGGCTTGAGGATCTTCGGCGACATGGTCTGCAGACTCCTCGGAACAGCCGTTTGAAGACGCATCCGAGGACTTTTTGGACGTTGTCGAGTGCTTTAAGCACTCAAAGGCGCCTGTGCAGAAAGTGCTTGCGGAGCGTAGCATTCGACAAATCGACCAAATTGGGACCGATGCATGACAGAGATACTCGTGGAGGCCTTGCCGGAGTACTTGAGCCTTATCCTGGCCACGGGCAACTACCTGAATGGAGGACCAGGGTTTTGCTTTTCGGACAGATGCAGCGCGCGGACGAAATGGAAGATTTTGTTAGGCACACCTCGTGGACAAGCAGATGGCTTCGATTTGAGCGAGCTCGAGAAGTTGACAGGCGGGTTTCCCGTACTTCCAGAAAACCCGTGGCTTTCGGGTCACTGCAGGAATCCAGGATGCTGACGGCAAGGATTTGCGACACTTCGTGCTCCAGGCACGAAAATCCTAATGAATGAGCCTCCTTCACTACTAATGCCCGACCACGACAGACGGTTCGTGCAACAGGTATTTTGCCAGCAGATGCCTGTCCAGGCTTGGGCAGCGTATCGTCAGATGTGTAGCGAAAAGATTCGAGCTGAGTGCAGGCAGAGCAGCTATTTGCGGAGCTTCGCCCGTGCTTCCTGAATGTGAGGAGGCAGAACTTGCGCTTCCGTTAGCAAGGTTGGGTTTGCTGTTAAGTTGTAGGATACAAGTTTCCAACGACGCGCATTGGCTGACGGATGATTGCAAGCACCCTGCCGGAAAGGAGCATCTCCAAGGCGGGAAGGGCGCCTCAACTCTTGCTGCACATGCCTGGGGCTTTGTCAGCCAGTTGTGGTCGCAAGTAAACACACTAACACTATACTGACTTTTCGAACAGTACCTTCATTGTGAGCAAGCCTGTCTTGCTCATACCAGTTACCGTCCTACCACTAATAAGAGCCGGCATTTTGTGTGAATAACGGCCACATTCAGAGTGACAGTGATACTGGCTGTGCGGCTGTGCCAAAACCATAGCAGCCAGGGAACCTTGGAAGCTGAAGCAGCGAAGTTCCCACTTTCCTTTGCCCTCATCCCGACATGTGGCACCTGGCTTTGCCCCAGCATCCCCCCTGGAGTCTTGGGGTTTAAGCTTTAGGGCTTGGGGTTTGTACAGGCTTGGTGGGGGCCATCTTGATCCTTGAAGGTAGTCTCTGTTGCGAGCGTAAGGCCAAAACCTTTTCAATACTATTGACACCCATGCCACCGGTGAGATCCACAGACCGAAGCCGCACAGGATGCATTGGGAACGGCAAAGCTGTCGAAAACTGCTGCTCGACTTGACATGGGACGGCAAAGGATACTCCTGACTTTGCTCGCCTACCCAGCCCATGCTGCAAACTGCATGGGTCTCCTGCACGGGTGACCCTTTGTCCATCATGGGATAGATGCTTCAGCTTCTTTGCTGGTCTGCGTGCCGATGTCATGCTCAGGTGCTGCAGGCAATTGAAGCGCTGGACGAGGAGGTCAGGGTCTCGGAGTTACCCTGCTTCGAAGAGCTTGCGTGCTGGGCAGTGCAAGATGACGTCAGGTTTCGGCACTGCAAGTCAGCTTGAAGCAGGCTGAGGACGGAAGTTGGGGCAGAGGCAGTTCGAATCTGACATGACCGAGCTGTCGCATCCCTAGGAGGCCGTGAGGACTGTGGTCGGCAGCCAGACCTCACCTGCAGCTCATGAGCGTCTTACTCAGAATCTTGCAGAGGCACGGGCTGAGGGCCGTGGGAGGCACTCACACTTAGCCGACTTAACCTCGACATGGCCCTCCACCCTTATTACATAAGCTCTCAGCCCATGATGAAACCCTAGACACTATGAGATGACGCCCTAAACCCTAAGCCCTAAACCCTTCGACAGTAGAGCATCCCAACACAAGCCCAAGATTTTTTACTGGGAGGCGTCTGCCTTCGTCAACGAGACCGTGGCCTTCAGAGACGATGTGAAGGCGGCCTTCAGACAGCCGTGGTTTAGGGTTTAGGGAGAGAGAGAGAGAGAGAGATATATATATATATGTATAATATATATTTATATGTGTGTGTACATAGGGTTAAGGGTTTAGGGCTTGTCTATATATACATAAATATATAATATAATATAACATAATATAATAAAATATAATATAATATACTAAAATATACTATACTATACTATAATATAATATCATAGCATATAATATAATATAATATCATACAATATAACATATAGATAGATATATAGATAGGGTTTATGGTTTAGGGTTTGAAGCCTGGGCGTTCCCGGACATGAGTTCTTAGAATCCTAAAAGCCTTAGCCGCAAAAAGCTCCAAACCCGAGCTTTCAGAAATATCCTAAACACTCTATACACAACAATCCGCTTAAGTGCTCACGCCAGTCCAGAACATATCCTCAGTCGACGACAACCCGGCAGGGCAAGTTTGAAGATCTTGCACACTTCCTCCACATGAAGCCTATGAGGACGTCGATTTGTTGTTGTGGGGGGGGGGGCTTCATACGGCTTCACTCAGGTATGGGGCTTCTTTACCGTGCTGTACAGTAGGGATTTTCTTTCACAGTTACAGAGACAGACACTGTGTACATGTGTACATGTTTATAATAAGCACACACTTTACATTACGCATAGGCGTCTTCTACATGTTGAGTTACCTATAGCGGAACGAGTTAAGAGTAGGAGAACTCCTCCCCAACATTATTTCCTGGAGCACTTCAATTGTAGTGGTTGTCATCGTAGACATTGCAATAGAAGCATCAATCAAAGTAAGACGAACCCCAGGGCCGTCAACAGCCGTTCTTGCCCATATTGGTTTGCGTCAACGGGCAGAAGACATCGGAACAACCCTCGTCCAGTGCTGCTGCTCAAGACAACACGGCAGTGTAGACTAGCTTCATGGACACCAGTTTGAGGCGTCGGAAAGATGCTGCAAGTCCGGATGCTCTCGGGAGAAGTAGTGGCAAGACATACTGCGCAAGAGCTGGAGGAGCTCGGTGACGTGAGGAGCCTGAAACGACATTTGAGCCAGTTTCACGGTGTGGGAACGCGGTTTAGACAAAGGCTCTTTCTCCACAGTGAGATGTTGGAGGACAGGGTCAAGCTGGAATCATCCATGGACCTGAATCTGGTCCTATTGCCGCTCGCTGAGGTTTCCCAATCGCAAGCCGACGATCTAGTAGCCGCTGCTGAGTGGGGTTCCGTGGCCGAGGTTGAGTCCATGCTGCAGTTGCCTCAAGATCCAGACTTGCTTGACTCGCACGGTCGAGCAGCTTTGATATATGCATCCTACGAAGGCCATCTCGAGACTGTCCACTTACTTCTGGAGGCCGCCGCCAACAAAGATGTGGCAGACGACGACGGGTACACAGCTCTGAACAGTGCGTCCGGTGAGGGTCATGTCGAGATCGTGAGCTTGCTGCTGGAGGCCGGTGCCAAGAAGGATGTGGCAGATGCTAATGGGTGCACAGCGTTGAACAGTGCGTCCTATGCTGGTCATGTCGAGACCGTACGCCTGCTGCTGGAGGCCGGTGCCGAAAAGGATGTGGCAGACGTCGAAGGGTACACAGCGTTGAACCGTGCATCCTATGCTGGTCATGTCGAGACCGTACGCCTGCTGCTGGAGGCCGGTGCCAAGAAGGATGTGGCAGATGTCGATGGGTGCACAGCGTTGACCCAGGCATCCCATGCTGGTCATGTCGAGATCGTTCGCTTGCTGCTGGAGGCCGGTGCCAAGAAGGATGTGGAGGATACAGCGTTGAAAAGGGCATCCGGCGCTGGCTGGAGGTCGGTACCGAGAAGGATGTGGAAACAGCATTGAACGGTGCATACTATGTCGGGATCGTCCGCCTGCTGCTGGAGGGCGGTGCAAAGGATGTGCCAGCCGCCACTTGGTGCACAGTGTTGATCAATGCATCCCGCGCTGGTCAAGTCGAGATCGTCCGTTTGCTCCTGGATGCCGGTGCCAAGAAGGATGTGGAGGGCCGAGGCAGGCGCATAGCCTTGAACAAGGTATCCCACGCTGGTCATGTCGAGATCGGCCGCCTGCTACCGCAGGCCGTTGCCGAAAAGGATGTGGCAGACGTCGATGGGCGCACAGCGTTGATCAATGCACCCCACGCTGGTCAGGTCGAGATCGTCCGCCTGCTGCTGGAGGCCGGTGCCGACAAAGTTCGCTTGCTGCTGGAGGCCGGTGCCAGGAAGGATGTGGCGGATATCCTCACAAAGTTGGACAATACACATCGTCCGCCTGATTTCCGGTGCCAGGAACAGATGTGTCGGATGGCTTTGGGCACAGCCTTGAACAATGCATTCCGTGAGGGTCATGCCGAGATCGTCCGCTTGCTGCTGGAGGCTGGCGCCGACAAGGAAATGGTTGGCCCAGGCACACAGCTTTGATGAGGGCAAAGGCTGCAGGTCGTGTCGAGATCGTCCGGATGAAGTCTGATATCAAAAACGTTGTGGCAGAGAACGCAGCTTCACACTTGACATTCGCAGTCTTTGCAAGTATATGTGGAGGTAATTCGATATATAATATACCGGTTTAAATTTCGAAGAGTCTGAAAAGATGTCAATCTGGGACAGACACTCTAACAGCCCGCAAAGCCTAGACCCCAAGCCCCATGCAAGCTTTTTTGCGAACAGGTGAAGCTGAGAAAGAAATGCATTCCCAATCAAAACCTACCTGTATGACTACCTGCTCAAAACCCTGAACACGGAGCATTAAGCCATAACTCCCATATCCGATGCTTAGATCAGTCAAACCAAAGAGGATTCCCAGAGACTCCAAACAAGCTCTCTTGGTTACGGAATAGACTTTAAATGATGAGGGGATGTTTGGGTTTGCTTCTTGATGTCATCTAGCAGACGGAAAAGAGCCTTTCAACAAAATTAAAGCCTACAGAAGCCTAAGCCTCTAAAACCCAAAGCGTCCACCGGCCGCAATCTTAATATCTAAAACCCTGCAACCTAAACCCTGAAACCCTAAACGCCCAAAGCCCCTTCAAACCTTCAACCCTTCAACCCTAAACCCTAAGCCCTTCAAACAGACTGAAGGAGTGACGATTTCTGCCTTCTCTGGGATGACTTGTTCGTGCCCGGGGAGCTGATGGTAAACAAGGGCAAGGCACCCTTAGGGTTTTAGGGTTTGGGGGTTTTGGGGTTTAGGGTTTGGGTGTTTTAGGGCTTTAGGGCTTTAGGGTTTGGGGGTTTAGGGTTTGGGGGTTTTGGGGTTTAGGGTTTAGGGGCTTTAGGTGCTATAGGCAGCATTGCAAGCAGTAGCGACACTGTTGCTGCTGGCTACCGGTCAAATCAGTCAGACGTCTGTTGCTACTTGTTCGACAATAAAGCATATAGAATTCCTCTGCGCCATGCTACAGATATGGATAAGATTATGGAATAGCACACGGCAATAAAGCACATAGCATGCTCAAGATATGGATAAGATTATGGAATAGCACAGGGCTATCCAGCCCATGTGGACCCTTAGCAGCTTTCAGGATCACTATTTCGTCCCGGCCTTCTGCAGCGGTGAGACTTTCAAGCTGGAGCATGTCAAGGTGCCGAGGGGCTTTAGGGCGTTGGGGTTCAGAACTTTGGGATCACATTCTTTAGATAGGGTGAGGATGTCGGCGAGGAGTCTAGGAGAACGCTGAACCCCAAACCCTTTAAATCAACCCCTTTAGGAACCCCAAAGCCACAAACATTGCCAGCCACATCCTGCTCGTGCCACCTGTCCCCCAATGCTGGCTGGAGGAGCTTTGGCAGCTTCAGACGGAGGATGCGGACTCCCAGGAGACTCGCTCGAAGCGTATATTAGCCTATATTTTAATTGCTCTATTACCCATACATATATATATATATATTAACCCTGTGTTAGTCCATGTTGGCCCCATAATATGAATAGGTAGGGCCAGGTAGGGGAAGCTGAACCTTTAACGAACCGCATGCCACGGAAAGGATGCAGAGGATGACCCGATGCTGAAGGAGGCCACGCCAATCTCCTCGCAAGCGCTGGAAACCTGAGACCTGCTCGAACGGTAGGGGACAGCAAGCTACAGATCTGCAGTATGGGTGCCGAGAATCTGCTTGCGGGTCTTGTGTATGTTTGCAGCTTCTCGTGCCGTGGCTGTGAAGTCTTGTCTATTGATGTTTGTATGGCTCGTGGACTTGGAACATGACTGTTACTGTTGATATTGGCTGAAAGCACTCCGGCCTTGATCGCGTTCACACCATCCCACTACCTGGCCCCGCTATGGCTGAGCCGATCGAGTGGATCATCTTCGGGTACCAGATCTACAAGGGCGTTGCAAGGGTTTTTTGTTCGGAATGAAGGTCCAGGAAGCTGCTGCAAAGGACGAGGCGTGGGCTGAAGCTCAAGCCGGAGCTCGTGCGGCTCATTTGGCTGACCGGGCCAAGCATGGCCAGCTTCATGATGAGGACTTGCGCAACCTACTGTCAGACATTCTTGAAGGTGAATTTCGACAGTGACCGGGATGGACACCTGGGCCGGCGTGAAATCCTTGAAGGTGCCATGCGCTTGAAGGAGATGGCACTTTAGACACGCGACCCTCGCACGCGTCAGTGTGCTATGGACTAATTACTTGAGCCTTCTCGCTTGGGCTTAAATGGTGAACAATGCCTTGGAGGTGAATGCGCGGGAGACCGTCAGGGCCCTGACAAAGTATATGGAGCCAGGGGAGGAGTGCGACCCGAATCGTGTTCAGATTTCTAGATGTGCTTGGTAGTTGTTGCATTTTCTGCTTTTTGTCGCCCGCAGGTAGATGTGAGGGAAAGGCTATACTGATGGAGCAACAGCTTTTCTTAGCCTGGGGGTAGATCTTTTTTTTGTGCAAGCTGAGGATTGAGCTCATCGTCGTTTCTTTCATCCGCAATCCAAAGAGCCGCAGCTTGGCACAGAAGCTTGGTGCGGTGGGCCGCGGCGGCACGAGCCGTGGTGCAACGACCAGTGAAGTAGGGAAGGCACTCAAGGATGAAGTGGAAGGCGCTGTGAAGGAAGGGGTGGAGGACCTTGACTTGGCAGCGTTTGGTTGAATTAGGTGGCTGCAAGGGTATGCTGGCTCGGCGCAGAAGAAGTTTCAAGCAAGTTGCAAGTGGCTGTTTCCTCTGAGCAGGACATGTGCAAGGACATTGTGCAGGAGACAACGTCCGAAGTCTCCAAGTGTTTCATGGAGAACTTGCCGGGCCTGCTTTTGGGCTGAGCCTTCTGAGGCCTAAAGGTGCTGTTTTGCGTTTCCACGAACAGGGCGCCTCACACCCCAGCTCAGAGTCCGAACACACCCCAAACAAATCGGATTCTGTGCAACCCCTGCCACTTGAAGCAGGCGCCCTCCGTGTTTCACAAAACGCCCCCATCCTTGCCAGCAGCCCTTGGGCTCTGAGTCTGTAAACAGATATTTACATATGGTGCTACAGACAACAGCATTTTTGCTTGGAGTCCATCGGGTAGCTTTGTCGCAATAGGGCTGGAAGTCGAGCGTCGCCGACGCTCGGCCTCCACACCTTCTACGCGAGCTCTGTGAAAAAAATGCCCTTCCCCAGAGCATCAGTGCTGTGTCAGGCTGTATTCTTTCATGACCCCAATCATGGTACAGCTGGGGTCACGCACAAAAATGCCTGCATTGACCAGGGGCCTTTGGATGCTGAGCAGTTCTGCATGGCGCTGGTTCCGTCGGTGCAGTGCCCTGAGGACAGGGTTTCCCAAAGACAGAAGGCAGAGCATCCGTTTCAACCCACGCCGTTTGCTTTGCTAGGCCGTCCAAAGGGGCTTCCAAAGACAGAAGACAGAGAATCCGTTTAGACCCACGCCGTTTGCTTTGCTAGGCCGCAGAGTGCCTTTGGCGGTTTCAGGCAGCCAGTTTGCCCCCCTTTTCATGACCACCTCACCAGTGGCACCCAAAACAGACCACAATGAGTCATCCTACAGAATCCTGCGTCCCAAACATCCTCCTAGCACCAACCGGAGTGTCGGCTTCAGGCTTACTCAAAGCACGTTACACCCCAATACGGTAGCTATTTGGCTCAAGGTACCACAAGCCAATGGGCGAACGAACTTACCGAAGAAAACGATCCTTCTGGGGTTGAGTG